GCAGGAAACAAAACAGAGAAGTACTTGACAAGAAATCATAGCACATATGCAAGTCCAAAATACTTTGTTCTTATACTAACACCAACACACCAACAGCTAGAACTGCAGCGAGAAAAGCCAGAAAGCCAGAAGAACGACTTGGTTAAGGGCTACATACTAACAACGTAACTAGAAGGAAACATGCCAGAGAGTCTACAGCAGATAGATGATCGAATCATAAAGTAAGTACATGGGGAAGATAAGGCCATAATCCTTCCTTCCTCAACAAGACTTCATTGTAGTAGAACATTCCCCATGAGAGGCACCCTTTCTTAAGTGGGACAGGTTTGAAGAACAGTCTCAGATTGAAGTAGAACAGGTATTAGAATAGGAATCTACAAATACATATAGCAAATATTAACAAGTCACTACAGCCAGGTGATATTTATGCTAGAGTTTTCTATAATTCTAGGGAAATTCAAACACAAAGTCACAAGACTAACTGGAGGTGTAATCTATTACTACAGTTGGTGTTGACACCGCAGGAATAATTATTTCCCCACTTTTTTTCTTTCTTTAAACAGAGGTCTTAGGAATACCCAGAAACTACCAGCAGGATTTACTTCGACAGTGGCCAAGTTGAAACCATAACTAAACCAAAACTAACAGGATGTATGGGTACTCCAGGAAGAATGAATTCAGCTTTTGTAGAAAAGTCACTTCCATCTGAAAAATACTCCTAAATAAAATCGCCAAAAACACTACACCAAAGAAACCACCTACAACCAAACACAAAACTAAGGTGTCACAGAAAATTCTCTCAGATTACTCAGGATTTAGAAGACCAGAGAACAGATAGAAGTTAATCATTTCCACAATAGCAAGAAGGCAGAAGTAGACTCCACAAGAATGTACTCTTTGATATATCTGTAAACGAGGAGGTCATTCTGGAATAAACAGCTGGCTGCCAATACAAAATTATTCAGTGGGGTAAAACTGGATGTGAGAGTGGGATATGATGGGGACACATGAATTAGCTTGAAAAATAAAGATAAACTACTAATATATTCACTGATAACCTGTTCAACACGACAGCCTGAATGCAACTGCGGGCTTATGTTGTACAAGTTGATGGAGGCCAGTTGAAGGATATTGAAAGATATTCAAGCTGGATTTCTAGGTCTTGTGCATCTACTGCTGGCCTCTGTATGGGCTAGATTGATATTTCCTATCATACTGGCTAACTTGTTTTTTTTCCCGCCCAATGAAAAACACTGCCTGAAAGTCAAAACTAGGTAAATTCCCACTAGAGACATGATTCAAGTTATTAAACCAGTGGAAATTAATCACTCAAGCAATATAGCAAACATGTTACAGTCTCCTAATCCCAGAATGTTATGAATGAAGACAGTCATCTGCATTTTAAAAAATGCCACTATCAAGCATTACTTTAACAAAGACAGAGAACATTTGTAGGTTGTTTTTTGGTGTTTTTTTTTTTAAATCGCAGCAAATAACGGAACAGTATTCTTCAGTTTCCAAACACCTGGACAGGCAACACTATGCAGACAGTAAAGCCAAATTTCAAGTATGCAATGGGCTATGAAAAGGAATGGAATTATCTCAAGTGTTTTGACAGTTGTACTTATCTTGCATTGTTTGCTTTGCTAACTGTGGGTAGTTAGATAAAATGCTGAGCATGATCTAGTCTTTAACAGGTTGATATAAAACCAGTATAAATTCAGTTATAGTACCAGTAAATACATGGACAGCAAATCTGATTATCTCAAATTATCCAAAATCTAGAAGTAGGAGGACAAACTAGTATTTACTTTTTTTGAAGACTATCGCTATTTTTGGTGCTCTCATTTGATCTCTTAAAACCTCTTCAAAATGAAGCAAGCTAAAATATTGTTTTGTTTTAGGAAAAAAAAAAAAAAGTTGAGATTAACACCTTAAGGCAAACATAGGACCTAAAACTTCAAGTATATTAAAGCTCCTTTGTAAAGCTCAACATGGCCTCAGTTGTTGCCCTGTACTTGTAAAACAAGTCTAGAAATTCCTATGTCTGTCTCTACAAGTAAAGAGTCCAGTAATTTAGACAACAAATCTAAAGAATCTTGATATACATGTTGCTGTAGCAGATACAGTATATCATACATATCCAGGTTCTAGGTTTGGAATTAATTTGTCTAATATAACCTGATTTTCCTGTTGACATTATCTAACAGTGGTAAGAGTCCTGGAAGACACACTATAAATTGTATAAGAATGCAATTTACAAGCAAACTGCCTCATCTGTAGGAAGAAAAACCCAAACCAACCATCTAAGAGGATAAAGCCAACATCTACCTCATAGATGATGTAAAAAAAAACCCCCAAAATCTGAATCTTTTAGAGAAGCTGCCATTACATCCTATTTCTAGCTCTTCTACTTATGCTGATGTGTAGATTTGATTAGCTTCAGTCCAGTGTATTGTTGCAGAAGGTACGGAAAATATTAACTTCAGAAAAGAAAATCTTCAGGTTATTCATGCTCTAACTGTGCCATTTTAAACTAGGACTACTGTCATGAGTAGCACGGGTATTAATTAAGTCTGTCAAATTTCTGTATTAATTCTAGAAGAGAATTTTTTTCAAGGTACACTGGGCAAACATTACCTGAAAACTGAATACTGGGAAACTAATGCAAAACAGAATGGCACTTACTGCACAGCAAGACTTTAACATGCAGGCAGAAAACTGGTAAAAAACTCGTAAAACATTATAATGAAACATGTAATATACACAGATCAAATAGTTGTGACTATACCGAATAGAAGTCTTTTAATCCAGTCCTTCTGTTCATGTAGCGTATTACTCAGATCCTACAGTGTTCCTACAGCTGCAGCTTCAGAGGAAAGACGTAACTATGTGCTGAGCATAAGCAGCATGTCAGACTACAAGTTTCGTAACAAGTTGATAGGTTACTGTTTGATTCAGATAGGTTACTCAGTGATCCAGAGGTTTCTGCTGTTTAGCTAACAACAGCAATCTGATCACAAAAAAGGCATTTTAAACTCAAAGAAAAAGTATACATTAGAAATACATATACTGAAGGTTAAGAGAACAAAGCTCAAACAGACCAGGAAGAAGACACAATATTCTTAATGCTTTCCTATTTATGAGAAGGGTTTTCATTTAGTACTTTGGTCCTTTACACCCTCACTGAACTAGTTAGTTTCAGAACCACAAAGATATCTGATTAGGAAGCATCTTTAGTGATGTTCAATGAAACCAAGAAAGGACAAAAGAGAATGATGCAAAAGCCAAGGAAAGATGTAGGAAAAGCAAAGCTTTCCTGAAGAACCGTTTGTTCACTTCCTAATCCTTTTGATGTTTTCTCTGGGTAAAATGTTTACGTAAAAAATGTGGGGAAAAAAAACCAAACAAAAAACCACCAAACCCAGAACAAAACAAAAAATGCCAAACCAAAGCGGAACCAAAAACCCAAACAAACAAAAACATATCAGCGTCACCAGTCAGCATGCTCATTGCTCAGGATAATATCCCTAGACTTTTAATGAAGTAAGTTTGAACATAGACTGTTAAATTTTTCTTTTCTCTATAGAAGAGAAAAACTCTTCTCAGTACATTTTGTTTCCAACTTAACACTGGGTAGGACTTCCTTCCAGACAAATGTGATTAGAAATTTAACCTGATTGACTAATACAACTGTGATGCAAAGAGGACAAACATTTGGTATTTCCTTACTGGGGAGGGGTAAGGGAAGAGACAAGACTAACTTTAGTCCTGTAACAGGGCAGGTCAAGAATTTCTGTAGCATGCCATGCCATAACCCTACACAGTGACATTT